ACTAAAAATACAAAAATTAGTGCTTGCTTTGGCAGCACATGTACTAGAATGGGAACGATACAGAGAAGATTAGCATGGCCCCTGCGCAAGGATGACGCACAAATTCGTGAAGCGTTCCATATTTTAAAAAAATACAAAAGTTAGCTGAGTATGGTGGCGCATGCCTATAATCCCAGCTACTTGGAAGGCTGAGGCAGGAGAATTGCTTGAGCCCAGGAGGTGGTGGTTGCAGTGAGCTGAGATTATGCCCCTGCACTCCAGCCTAGGTGACAGAGCAAGACTCCAACTCAAAAAAAAAAAAAAAGAACATACTAAAGAGTATGGAAGCAGGAGCAGGGAGATGGGGAGGAGGCTGCAATCAAGCAGGGAGGTGGAGGGACTTGGACCAGGGCTGGGCTGTAGCAGTGGAGGTGGTAAGAAGTGGCAAGATTTTGGACCTTCCTTCCTTCCTTCCTTCCTTCCTTCCTTCCTTCCTTCCTTCCTTCCTTCCTTCCTTCCTTCCTTCCTTCCTTCTTCCTTCTTTCCTCTCTCTTTTTCTTTCTCCCTACCTACTCATTTTGTCATCCCTCCATCATTTAAAATTTAAAGTAAATTTATTTATTTTAAAATTTAAAATAGGTTTGACGAAAATTTTTTAAAAATAGCTTATGAACACAAACATAAAGCAACCCCTGGCCTAGCACAGTGGCTCATGTCTGTAATCCCAGCACTTTGGGAGGCCAAGGTGAGTAGATCGCCTGAGGTCAGGAGTGTGAGACCAGCCTGACCAACATAGTGCCACCCCGTCTGTACTGAAAATACAAAATTAGCTGGGGGTGGTGATGCATGCCTGTAATCCCAGCTACTTGGGAGGGTGAGGTAGGAGACTCACTTGAACCTGGGAGGCAGAGGTTGCAGTGAGCTGAGGTTGCACCATTGCACTCCAACTTGGGCAACGAGAGCAAAACTCCATCTCAAAAATAAATAAATAAATAATAAAAAATAAGGCAACCCCTAAAATAAGCAGTCTCCTACTTTCTTGATGATAAGATGCCAAAAGAGATTTTTTAAAGGTCAAGTTGAATATATAGAAACTCTTAGGAATATAGCTAATATGATAGAGTTTTTCAGTCCTAGTACTATTAACATTTTAAATCAAATAATTTTTTGTTGTAGGGCCTGTTCTGTGCGTTGTCGTATTTTTAGCCCCATCCCTAGCCTCAACCCACTAGATGCCAGCAGCACAACCTCACCCCACCCCATCTCCCAGTTGTCACCACCAAAAATATCTCTGGACACGGACAGTTGTCCCTAGAAGGCAAAATAGCTCCTGGTTGAGAATCACTGGTATAGTCAAATGCCTACCTATTACACAGACACATTTTTTGGAGACAGGATCTCACTCTGTCTCCCAGGCAGGAGTGGCAGTGGTGCAATCACGGCTCACTGCAGCCTCAACCTATTGCACTCAAGTGATCCTCCCACCTCAGCCTCTTGAGTAGCTAGGACTGCAGATGTGCACCACCACACCCAGCTAATTTTTTTTTTTTTTTTTATTACTTGTAGAGACGTGGTTTTACCACATTTCCCAGGCTCGTCTCAAACTCCTGAGCTCAAGCCATCCTCCCATCTTGGCCTCCCAAAGTGCTGGCATTGAGCCACTGTGCCCAGCCTTACTTATAATGTTTAACTTATTTCTTTAATTACGTTTATACTTACACATTTTGGGCAATAGCTCATTATTTTATAAATATTTCTTTTTTGCACTCAAATTTCATAAAACGAATGTATTCAAACCTTTATAGGCATCTGTTATGCCAGCGCCTTCATTGCTGTTATGGCCCCTCTTCGTCATTTAACAGAGCTTTCTAGGCTGCATCATTTTCACTTCCGTCCACATTTAATATGATGCAGCACTTAACATCCCAGTAAGATGCTCTCACAGGAAAATTACATCCCAAGATACAATTATCCACTACATCATATTGGGACAGTTTTCTTTTCCACTGCTGTTCTGATCTCAAAACTCACCAAGTATTGCTTTAAAAAACAAACACCAAATTGAATTTCTTTAAAAAAACAAACAACAAAAACCCTTTTTTATTTATAAAAAATTGAAAACCACTGGACATGGTGGCTCATGCCTGTAATTCCAGCACTTTGGGAGGCTGAGGCGGCTGGATCACCTGAGGTCAGAAGTTTGAGACCATCCTGGCCAACACGGTGAAATCCCATCTCTACTAAAAATACAAAAATTAGCCAGGTGTGGTATTGGGTGCCTGTAATCCCAGCTACTTGGGAGGTTGAGGCAGGAGAGTAGCTTAAACATGGGAGGCGGAGGTTGCAGTGAGCCAAGATGGTGCCACTGCACTCCAGCCTGGGTGAAAAAAATATATATATATGTCCAAATTTGAATCTAATTAAGCCTTTAGGTCTAACCTCAGTTTTCAGGAAATACAGGGGACAAAGGAATAAATTAAAGAACCTCACAAGGAAGCAAATCAGCCAATTCCAGAATATAGACCATTCTACTGGACAAATGAGCCAGTTCTCTCCAGAAATCAACCACATGAACACAAAAACAAACACAGGGCCGCCTCAGTGGCTCATGCCTGTAATCCCAACACTTTGGGAAGCTGAGGCAGAAGGATCTCTTGAGCCCAGGAGTTTGAGACCAACCTGGGTAAAATAATGAGACCCTGTCTCTACCCTCACACACACACACACACACACAAAAGGTTAAAAATAAAATGAAATAAAAGCACACAAGAAACAGAGAGGAGACTGTTTCAGATTAAAAGAGATTCAAGAGGCTGGACACAGAGGCTCATGTCTGTAATCCCAGCACTTTGGGAGGCTGAGGCAGGCAGATCACTTGAGGTCAGGAGTTTGAGACCAGCTTGGCCAACATGGTGAAATCCCATCTCTACTAAAAATATAAAAATCAGCTGGGCGTCGTGGTATGCACCTGTAATCTCAGCTACCTGGGAGGCTGAGGCAGGAGAATCGCTTGAACCCAGGAGGCAGAGATTGCAGTGAGCTGAGATCACACCACTGCACTCCAGCCTGGGTGATGACAGAGCAAGACTCCATCTCCAAAAAAAAAGAAAAGAAAAAAAGAAAGTTGCAGCTGATCCTGCAACTGGCAGGGAGGAACCAGGAAATAAATACTCAACCCTTTCTTTTCTCCCATCCTCTGACGTCTTATCAGCACCGCCAGTTGGCTGAGCCCAGCCAGAAACAAGGGAACAATTAACGTGGTCCATACAGGGCAGCTTCTCGGGGCGCAGAGCGGGGTGAAGAGGGTGGAGTGCACTCTGAGCATGCACCACCATTCCCAGAGTGGGTCTGGAGGAGACAACAGCAGATATCCAGGACACACATATCTGAGAAAAATCAAGGAAACTGGAAACTGGTATATAGACAGGATTTTAGATAATTCTAAGGATTTCTTGATAATTTTACTAGGAGACAATGGTGTTACAGCTATATAATAAAATGTTCATATATGTGGAATTTGCTTTAAAATATTGCAGCAAAATAAGAAGGAAGGAAGGAGAAAGAGAAAGTAAGAAAGACAAAGAAAAGAAAGAAGGATGAACAGAGAGCATGAAGAAGAAAGAAAGGAAGAGGAATAAAGGGAGGGGGGAGAAATAGAGAGTATGGCAACATATTTTATTTATTTATTTATTTAAATTATTTATTTTTTTGAGATGTCTCAAACTTGTGACCTCAAGCAGTTCGCCTGCCTCAGCCTCCCAAAGTGCTGGGATTACAGGCTGAGCCACCACACCTGGCCAGTGTGTGTTGTTTTAAACCACTAAGTTTGTGGTAACATTTTACAGCAGCCATAGGAAACTGCCACAAGGATTTATTGTAATCTGCTTTCTCTTTTTGTGTTATGTATGAAAAATTTTCTAAGTTGTATTTGAGCATGCACAATTCACAACACCACCTACGAAACAGTCTTGCCAGGAAATCGAAGTAGAATCAGCAAGTTCAACCACCAGTTTTCTCCAGTTAACAGAAGGAAATGGATCATAGGGATTTAGCTCAGCAAACGCAGATGATAAACATCCAGAACAAAAGACCTGCTTTCTTCAATAAATAAATTCTAAACCAGAAAAAAAGATATAGGGAGAAACTAGTCACTAAAAGAGAATTAGGAGGTCGAGTGGGTAGGAGCTCATTCCTGTAATCCCAGCACCTTGAGAGGTCATGAGTTTGAGATTAGCCTGGACAATATAGTGAGACTGAGATCGCACCACTGCACTCCAGCCTGCGTGACAGAGCGAGACTCCATCTCAAAAAAGCAAGAGGATCACTTGACACAGGAGTTTGAGACCAGCGTGGGCAACACAGTGAGAACTCGCCTCTAAATAAATAAATTAATTAAATAAGGAGAATTAAGAGACATAGCAACCAATTGCTACATGAATCTTCTTGGATCCTGATTCAAACAAAAGGGTGGGGGGGTGGGGGGGGAAGAAAAAAAATGGGCTGGGTGTGGTGGCTCATACCTGTAATCCCAGCACTTTGGGAGGCCAAGGCAGGTGGATCACTTGAGGTCAGGAGTTTGAGACCCGCCTGGCCAACATGGTGAAACCCCATCTCTACTAAAAATAAAAAATTAGCTGGATGTGGCAGTGCAGGCCTGTAATCCCAGCTACTCTGTAGAAGGACCACTTAAAACTGGGTTGCAGAGGTTGCAATGAGCTGAGATTTTGCCACTGCACTCAGCCTGGGTGACAGAGTGAGACTCCATCTCAAAAAAAAAAAAAAGGCGATTTGTCCTTTGAGAGCCATTTTTGGCTTTGATAAGGGACATTAGGAAGAGGAGGCTGGCCCAGACACCCAGTGTGGAGTTGAGGCTGATGCTGACGCAGGCCCCTGACTCTGCTTGCACCTGCCTTGCTGTGGGACCCTGGTCCTGTCGGGACCTCCGTCTCCCTCCCTGTGTAGGAGGTTGTTGGCTTGGCTGATGTGTCTGAGGGACTTGCTTGTTTAGACAGGCACCCTCGGTCGGGCCTGGTGCCTGGGGGTACTCAGTTGGTGCTTGTTGGCTGGTTGAAGGAGTGAGTGGGTAAATGAATTGGAAACTGAGGCAGGGACTCTGGCTCACCCCTCACTTATGCACACAGGATGCTCCCACTGGCTCACTTTCACACATACCCCCACATTCACACTCACACTCACACATTCATGTGCGTTCATCCCTGATTGCCCACCCCTCTTCACCCACACGCTCCCATGAACTCACACACTGCCCAACCCAGGCTCCAGATCTCAGGAAGCTTCCGCCTCCAGCCCCAAAGCTCTGTTCCCATGGGATTTCTGAGCTCAATGCTTCTTGGTCACTAGGGATGCCCTGCCCAGTCGTGCCACTCACCACAGTGGCTCTTCTGAGCTCCTCTCTTCTCTCTCCATTTTATATCCCAAGGCCACTCTCTTTCCTCTGCTCCCTGTCTCTGATTTTCTCTCTCACCCCCATCCAGAGACACACAGACCCAAATGTGCACAGGCGCCCGCTCACTGACTGTGTCTGGTTGTGGACCTTCCCTGGTCTTTGTCTGTGTATCTCCTTGTTCCTCTCATCTCTCCCGGTGTTTACATCTTTTTCCCTGAGCCTCGCTCCCTCCATCCCTTCCTCCACCCTCTCATTTTTTTTCCTGACTCCGTCCCACACCCCCCTTCTCTCCTTCGATTTTCCTGGTCCCTCATCTCTCCTCCCTCCTATTCCTCACCCTCATGCTCTCTTTCTCACTTGCTTTCTCTCTCTTGCTTTTCCTCTTTCTCACCTCAGCTCCCTGGCATTGGGTGCTGCCTATACCCGACCTGGCCCCTTGCTCTATGAGAAGCCTCTGTGCAGTGCTCAGGTCCTGGTTGCCCAGCTTGGAAGTTCCCGTGGCACCCGCTGAGAGGCCCTAGGGTCACAGCATTTCCTCCCGGGGGTGACTTGGCAGTGATACACTCTGTTTCCTCACTTCTGCAACTGCCAGCCGCGCAGAGACTGAGGCTGGGGCCAGGACCCAGGCAGAGACACACAGCCCCTGCAGCTGCAGCCACTGCCCCTACTACAGGTAAGATGGGGTCCTGGCCCCTGCTGGGCAAGGGGGAGGCTATAAAAATGTCCTCGGGAGGCAAACCAAGGTCATGCCACTAGGCTGCACAGGTGGGTGCTTCTATTTTTTTTTGAGACCGGATCTCACTCTGTTACCCAGGTGGGAGTGCAGTGGTGTGATCACAGTTCACTGCAGCCTGGACCTGCCAGGCTCAGGCCATCCTCCCACCTCAGCCTCCACAGTATCTGGGAGTCTCATGTTAAAGAAATAATTTCTTGAGTTCAAACATTCCTGGAGAGCCCAACACTCATCTTTGGCTTTCTGAGTCTTAAGGCAGTGCTGAGGTGACCCCAGAAACCTCACTGGGAGGTGGTGATGGTGGTGATGGGGGAAACTTGGATCTCGGGGAGCCAAATGACATCTGCTTGACAAGCTGTGTGGTCTTGGCCAAGTTACACTCCATCTCTGCGTAGTTTTCTAAATTTTCAAATAAGGATAATGCTATCTCCCCCACAGAATTGCTGGAACACATAAACGACCTGGTACAGGGCGGGGTACTTAGGAATTCACTAAATGCTAGGTTTGCCGGGTGGGGAAGGGGTTCCTGAAATAACCAGGTTATTATACAAAGGGCCGAGCCCACAACCAGTGGCCCTATCAGGTCCCAGGTGCTGGGGACAGGGTCCAGGCTGGCACCCACCGTCCTCGGCTGGCAGGAGGTCCAGATGTGGGATTGTGCACTCTCTCACTTGGGAAATATGACAGAACCAGCAGGCGCTCTCCCCACACCTTTAGGCTGTTTTCTATTAGCTCTGACTGAATACCCAGCTGTGTTCCAGGTGTTTGGGGAGTGTGTGTGTGTGTGTGTGTGTGTGTGTGTGTTGGGGGAGGAGGGGTAGGAGGTGTGTTGGGGAGTGCTAGCGAAGCAAAAAAGACACAACTAGCTTTAGGTCCTGGCAAACCAGCTGGAGAAAGAGGTCAGCTCCGTAGATGAAGATGGGTCCTGGGACTGAGGTGGGCATCCAGGGTTTTGATCTCAGCTCCTGCTGACAAGCCGGGGCCTTGAGCCATTCGGAAGTTCCACTTTCCTCCTTTGCAGATTGGGGGTTAAAATACTGACCTCTGTGGGCTGGGCTCAGTGGCTCACACCTGTAATCCCAGCACTTTGGGAAGCCGAGGTGGGTGGATCACTTGAGGTCAGGAGTTTGAGACCATCCTGGCCAACAGGGTGAAACCCCGTCTCTACTAAAAATGCAAAAATTAGTTGGGCGTGGTGGTGCAAGCCTGTAGTCCCAGCTTCTCGGGAGGCTGAGGTGGGAGAATTTGCTTGAATCCAGGAGGCAGAGGTTGCACTGAGCAGAGACTGCAGCACTGCACTGCGGCCTCGGCAATAGAGCAAGATTCCCGCTCAAAAAAACCAAAAACAGAACAACAACAACAACAAAAGCTGACCTGTGGGTTTGCGGGAAGAATGAAATAAGAGGTGGGGTAGGAAAGTGCTTTGTCAATTGGAAAATGCTGTGCAAAGGGGACCAATGCATTCCCTCTAACACTGACTCGGTGATACCTGCTGTGAGCACCTTAAGGATGAGGAATCTGTTTTGTTCACTGTTGTATCCTTTATCCTTAACACAGGGTTTGCAACAGAGCATATGCTTAGAATATGCACAGGAAAGATGAATGATGAAGAGATCGTTGCCGTTATTAGGGAATGGACAGTGAACCAGAGACCCAGTATCTGGTCCCAGCTCTGCCCCCGACACTGTGCTCACCTTGGGAAAATGCTTTCTCATACCTGGGCCTCAGTTTCCCCATCTGGCCATTGAAGGAGTAAGGAATTCACAGTTTACAGCATCAATGACAAAAACGTGCCTCCAGGAGTGAGTTTTCTTATACCTGCCTTTCACCCCGTCACCAATCTGGCCGTTCCTTACTCCTTCAATGGCCAAATTGGTGATGGGGTGAAAGGCAGGTATGAGGAGAAGCTGGAATCCTGTTGTCCTTTTACAGGGAGCAAAGATTTCCCCCTCCCACCCCAGGCCTGTGAAGGAGGCCTTGTTGAAGAGGATGGCATTCTCCTTCTTGGTGGCATCCCCACTTCCCTGTACCAATCCCCTAGGTCGGTGGAGGCTTGGGCCTCAGAGGGGGCAACAGTGGAGCAGGAGCCTGGTAGCACCCCTGGGCCTGAGGATGTGTGTCTGGGTTAGGAGACGAGCCAGCTCCTGAAGGGCAAATACTGGGACCCTGCTGCAGCCTCCTCTCTGACCAGCCCTTCTTGGGTTTCTGTTGTGTTTTTGTGTGTGCATATGTGTCTGTGGTTATGTGGGGTGGACAGGGAGCTGGCTCTAGCTATGTCCACATGTATCTGGAATGACGGGCCAGGATCATATCTAGACTGCAGGTGATCTGCTCCAGCCTGTCTTGGTCTCCCAAAGTGCTGGGATTATAGGCGTGATCCACTGCACCTGGCCCTGATGAGGACTTTATACACATTATTTCATGGACTCTTCACCACTCTGGAGAGGCATGTGCCTGGGGATTATCAGCTCCATTTTCAGGGAGGGACCTGAGACTTAGAGGGAGGACATGCTTGGCTGTGGTCCTGTGGCCAATAAGTGAGAGAGGCAGGATTTGAACCCAGGTTTGTCTGACTCCAGAGTTGATGCTCTTAACCACTGTTCTCTAAATACTATACAGCCTTTATTTCACTTGATGCTTACAAAAGTCCTATAAAAAAGATGTGTTACTATTTGTATTTTACACATGGGGCCCAAAGAAGGCAAGCAGTTTTACCAAAGGTTGCACAGCTTTTAAGTCATAACTGAGTCTACATGACTCTAACTTAAAAATACATTGTGCTTTCAAATTTGCCGTCTCTTAGGCCATTAATTTTTTTTTTACTGTGGTGAAAAAACATAACAAATTTACTCTCTTACCATGAATTTTTAAACTTATTTTATAGAGATTGGGGTGCTGCTATGTTGTCTGGTCTGGCCTCAAACTCCTGGGCTCAAATGAGCCACTCATTCTGGCCTCCCAAAGTGCTGGAATTACAGGCATGAGTCATGTGTCTGGTCCCTCTTAACATTTTAAAAGTGTATAGTTCAGTCATGCTAACTATATTCACATTGTTCTATAATACATTTCTAGAATATTTTCTTTTTTTCCCAAAAGCAATCACTGTTAACATTTATTCTATAATCTAGTCTTCTTTAACTTCACATATTTTTTTTTCATTGCATTTTAGGTTTTGGGGTACATGTGCAGAACATGCAAGATAGTTGCATAGGTACACACATGGCAGTGTGTTTTGCTGCCTTCCTCCCCTTCACCCACATTTGGCATTTCTCCCCAGGCTATCCCTCCCTAGCTCCCCACAGCGCTGTCCCTCCCCTATTCCCCCCAGTAGACCCCAGTGTGTAGTACTCCCTTCCCTGTGTCCATGTGTTCTCATTATTCATCACCCGCCTATGAGTGAGAACACGCGGTATTTCATTCTCTGTTCTTGTGTCAGTTTGCTGAGAATGATGTTCTCCAGATTCATCCATGTCCCTACAAAGGACACGAACTCATCATTTTTGATTGCTGCATAATATTCCATGGTGTATATGTGCCACATTTTCCCAGTTTCTTTTTAAAAAAATTCTGTGAGTGCCAAGAGAATGTTTTCATCATGGCTGGGAGGAGTGGCTCCTAGTACTTTGGGAGGTCAAGGTGGGAGGATCACTTGAGTTCAGGATTTCAAGCCCAGCCTGGCCAATATGGTGAAACCCCACCTCTACTAAAAATACAAAAATTAGCTGGGTGTGATGGTGCGTGCCTGTAGTCCCAGCTACTTGGGAGGCTGAGGCAAGAGAATTGCTTGAACCCAGGAGGCAGAGGTTCCTGTGAGCTGAGATCATGCCACAGCACTCCAGCCTGGGTTACAGAGTGAGACTTTGTCTCAAAAAAAAAAAAAAAAAAAAAAGAAAAAAGAAAGAAAAGGAAGAAGAGAAAAAAGAAAAAAAGAGAATGTTTTCATCTTGCTTGAAACTCTACATCTGTTGAACTTCTCTCTATTTTCCCTTCCCCCCAGCCGCTGGCAGCCATCATTCTACTTCTGGTTCTATACTTTTGATTAGTTTAAATGTCTCATGTAAGTGGAATCATATAGTATTTGTCTTCTTGTGGCTGGCTTATTTCACTTAGCATAAATGTCTTCAAGATTCATCCATGTTGTAACATGTGTCAGGATTTTCTTCCTTTGTAAGGTTGAATAATATTTCATTGTATGTAGATACCACATTTTGCTTATCCATTCATCTGTCTTTGGAGATTTTCGGTGTTTCCACGCTTGATAATTGTGAATATTTTTACTATGGTTTTTCACCGCAGTAAAAAAAAAAATTAATGGCCTAAGAGACGGCAAATGTGAAAATGTCTTTTTTTTTTTTTTGAGACCAAGTCTCGCTCTGTTGCCCAGGCTGGAGTGCAGTGGTGTCATCTCAGCTCACTACAACCTCCACCTCCCAGGTTCAAGTGATTCTTCTGCCTCAGCCTCCCGACACCTCCCAGGTTCAAGTGATTCTCCTGCCTCAGCCTCCCGAGTAGCTGGGACTATAGAAGTGTGCCACCATGCTTGGATAATTTTTTGTATGTTTAGTAGAGATGGGGTTTCACCATGTTAGCCAGGATGGTCTCTATTTCCTGACCTCAGGTGATCTGCTGGCCTCGACCTCCCAAAATGCTGGGATTATAAGTGTGAGCCACCGCGCTGGGCCTTTTTTTTTGAGACAGTGTTTCTTTCTTATTGCCCAGGCTGGAGTGCAATGAAGCAATCTTGGCTCACCATAACCTTTGCCTCCTGGGTTACAGCGATTCTCCTGCCTCAGCCTCCTGAGTAGCTGAGATTATAGGCATGTGCCACCACACTTGGCTAATTTTGTATTTTTAGTAGAGACAGGGTTTCTTCATGTTGGTCAGGCTGGTCTCAAACTCCTGACCTCAGGGGATCTGCCCACCTTGGCCTCCCAAAGTGC